TAAAACAGTTTATGCATTTTTCAGATCTCTTTCTTCCTTTTCTCAAGGTCACACTTGTAGTTTCTGGTAGAGGGACACAATTGGAAAAATTATCTACATATAAAAAATGAAGTTTAGGGTGCAGAAATTCTGCATTTCTGATAAATTTTATGTTCACACTTTCCTTGATTTAAATAGAGCATTCTAAAAATATGACCCACATAGGGGACACATTTTTATATACACATTATTTCGCTTAGAAATTATGAACTAGTAAGAAGTGAAAATGATCTTGACTATTGTGCTCATTTATTGATAGAAATAATAGCTTTTTTATGTCTGGATTCAAGTACCTTCTCTACTAATCATACAACTTTTGTACATTTCAAAGGGAGGATTTGAGTTGAATGAAAACAGAAGACTGGTGTTTCCTACGTGCCTCTACGTTTGTGTTCATGTAGAATATTTATGCAACATTCTGACATGGCTGTAATCTGTAATGCCTGGCTGTTTCAGTTGCAACTATAATTTTTAGATTAATTATTATAATTTGGGTAAGGAATACACAAAAAGTTATATGTTCATACTTGAAAGGAGGATCATTAAATATTCATTATTACCACACAAATTAGTTGTCATGTGCTATATAACAGTTACCCGTTATCATTTCACTAGTTTAGATTCAGCAGTAAGTGAACAGCAATATATAGCTCATATCAGTAGAGGAACTTTGGGGGGAACAGAGAGAGAAATTATTTTAAAACCCATTTGACATATTTATGTTGACAAATTATTTAAAGGAATTACTTTGTCAATAAACATGTTTGTATATTGAAGTAGAGTCTTGCTGTTTATGACTGTGAAAAACAGTACTTCTTCATATGGTTATGAGTGAAAAAATTTGAAAACACAAAGGTTGAGTTATTTTAGTCTTTTGCAGGCACCTAACCTTGCCATGAAAAAGCACTTTTCATTTTCATAAGCAGGCACTGAAGTCTTGCTTTTTCAGCAAAGCTGGACTGTATAATTTGTTACTTTTCCCCATCCGGTAATAAATCCATTCTTAAGGAAAAAAAAAAAGCAAAAAGTAAAACAAGAGATAGATTTTTATAAATACTGTGGGTGAACATTTATAGAGGTGTGTCCTCAACCCATTTTGGAAAGATGTGAAGTAAAAATTAATAAATATAAATGTATTATAGTGTAAAAACATTTTGCTTTTTTCTTTCCAGTACCTTGATATGCCAGTTCACTGTGAAGACATTCAGACAGCCACATGGGTTTTTTTTTTCAATCACACGTATGAATCATTCCATAATCGTCAGTAATTTAAATTGGCTCTTTTTCCATAGAAAGAAAACCCCGTAAATTTGATTCTGATTTCATCTAACTTTAGAGCTTTCTGTTTTAAAGAGTCAGATTGTAGCTGATGAAGACATTTTGCATTTTTCCACATTGCATCTGGACTCCTCATAATGACGGTTTATTTTATTTTATTTTTTTCCTGCACAGAGAAGAGGAAGAATCTATAGGTCCATGAATCAATCTAGATAATGGGGAAGGCTGAATGTAATAAATAACACACTAACAACCCTAAACTAATGAGCTGTTGCTAAGGTACATTTCATAGGCTCATCCTCTATATAAAAGTCACTAATAACCCCTTGGTGTAATCAGATGATAAAGCTTTGCCATAAGGCAACACCTGTGCAATTAGAACTGCAGATTCTTTTGCACGTTTCATTAATTTCAGGATTTTGTAGAGGCACAGTGACTACACTAATAATCTAGTCTACTTGACTCCATGTCTACTGGAAGCAAAGTGTCTAATTAGATAAAGGTAATTAATTAGAGATAAATGGAGCTAATCAGGCTCAGTTAACACTAATTCTCTGAATTAAGACATTTTGGGACACCTACTGTCCCGCTAACTTTGACATTTTACATGAAGTTAGGTTCTAGAGGAGTCAGAAAATACTGGCATTTGAGAATTGAGCAGTCTTTTGATGGCATACTTAGGCGTCTGAAGCTAACTGAGTTTTCTTTCACATTGTGCTTTTCCTCCACCTTTCTATTGCAGCTTAAAGAATTCACTTTGTAGTTATTCCAATCTGTGTTAGTCTCCATATAAATTTTAATAACCTTTGCTATCATTTTTATTATCTGTCTAGCCCACCAGTGGAAGAAAATTGCAAGTTGTTCTCTCTTAAATAAAGACTTAACTTGTTACATTAAGGAAATGTCAAGACTCATCAGCCTGTATCCTAAAATTCCGATCCTTTAACCAGAACAAACACCTAAAATTCTGATCCTTTAATTCTCATTCTTTAAAGAGAACAAACCTTTGCTTTACTGTGTTGAACTTAAAATTCAGTGATGTGGGGGAAAGAGTGTGAGCTTTGAAGTCAAAAAGACCTGAATTCAAATTTCTGCTCTCTTACTATAAATGAGTGATCTCAGGAAGATGCTAAACCTCCCTGAGTTCCTTTGATTGTAAAGTGGAAATAATAGTGATACTAATTTTACAGGGTTGTCGTGAACAGTGAATAACATAAAGGTTGGTTACGTCCTGTTAGGCTGACATGGAACACATAACCTGGCACCATATCTTGATTGACTACAAGACTGAGTATCAAAAATGTTACATTTTCATCTTGATCCCATGATAATCTTTGGGCTGCATTTATGTATGCAGCAAGGGAGAGATTAAGGATTTTCTCCCAAATAGTAGAATCAGAAAAAAATCCTCCAAATTCTTTACTTGGAGAGTGTGAATTTATCTGTCTTGTTCACACTGATGTAATTAGCCCTCTTGGCAAGTCGTTCCACAGTCCACAAGGAATGGGCAGGTTGCCCCAGAGTTGAACTCGGATGTATGATGCTTAGGATGAAGTGGGCGTTTGCATCTTCTATAATTTCTCTGGGATGTGCCCCTTTCCTTTCTGGCCTCTGTCCTCACTTGCCTGGACTACTCCTGATTGCTCTGACAGTCTCCTAATATCCCTGCTTTTGTTTCTTTCTTCTGTAATTCAGTGTCCTGTAATTCATTGTCACCAACTTAATCTTCCTCACAAAGCACTTTCCTCATTCTCTCTCTTGTTAAGATCATAGGAAGACTCCTTTTTAAACTAAGACGCTAGCAGTGGCAGTCATAGCATTTATATCTGGTCCATATTTATCCAGGCTATCTCCTGCCCTCCTGTGCCAATGATGCCTTGTATTCCAGGCAAGCCATCCTTACTCTTCTTCACTACTCTTCTCTCTCCCTTGATGCTTTTATCTCCACCTGAAAACCTCTCTCCTCTTCTTTCAAGACTTATTTCAAATCCTGCATTTCCCTCGAGGCCTGCTTTGACACCTCTGGCCTACCAAGGGCATTCTCATCTCTGAAGGTCCATGGCAGCTCTCAATGGCACCACTCTGATGAGATGTCTTATGTCAGGAACCATATCTTGTTCTCCTTGTGTGCAAGGCAAACCTTGTCCACCATCTCTTCCCTCAAACCCCGACCTTCCCCCAGTGTGGTCCTCCAAGAAACACAGAACAAAACAGTATACATGTATAATTTAGCTGTGATGTGCGGCTTGCCCTGGACCTTGGCTCGTCAGGTCTACGTGACTTTTGTAGTAACCCGAGGGCTCTTTGCCCAAATTCAGCCCTGGACTGCGCCTTCATCTTTGGAGACAGTTACCTTGACGAGAGGCATGGCTCTAGTCCCCCAGGTTTTGTGTCTAGCTTGTGGGGTATTAGAATTTTCTAACATGCAGTGAAGGAACGCCAGGGGAGTGGCTTTT